AATGCTCCACAGAACATAGCAACATGGACTTGTTCACTCAGTCAGCATCACTGAGTCCCACGCAAAATGAAGACAAGACTTATGCATCAAAAAGACAACCCTTGGGGTGTGTGTGTGTTTTGTGTGTGTGTGTGTGTGTGTGTGTGTGTGTGTGTGTTTTCAGATGCACTGATTGCACTGCACTGTGCAGGTTCTGAGTGTATGTGAGAATTCACACAGTCCCTGCCCTCACACAACTTACTCTAGGGGGAGACCAACCTGGACCCCCCCTAATGAAAACAAAGGCCTGGAGAAGAGAGGAAAGGAGGAGCACTGAATACCAAAAGGGAGCCAAGATTGCAAATGTGGATGCTTGAAACTTTAACATGAGGAATTTAGTTTGATGTCAGATAAATGAAATGTATTTAATACTTTAAAGCATGATCCAACAGTTGCTCTTATTTATATTGAAATTTATTTAAAACTATGTCTTGTTTTCTTTTTAGTCTACTGAACTCAGAACCATATTATAAACATCTGTCAACTATATAAAATGAAAAAAAACTTCTTTCAGACTGCAGTGATTTCTTTTCTAGTCCATTGTTTTGACTCCAGGAACTGACTCATTTCTCATAGTGAAAATTAGGATCTTTTTATGAAGTTTCACCAACACTGGAGTTGTATTGAGTATAGTGGGAAAATATAAATATAGTTATTCCTACTATTTATTGTTCATTCCTTTCCTTTTGTAACATAGACGTTTGCTTTATTTATTCATAACTCTATTATTATTGTTGTCATTGTTGTTATTATTATTAGACAGAATGTCCCTAAATTGCCCAGGCTAGCCTGAAACTTGTTATGTAACCCAGGCTGGCCCGGAAGCTGCAATTCTCCTGTGGTAATTCCTTTTGAGTGCTGGGATTACAGGTGTGGGTTACAATTACTCAGCTGTTTAAAACTGTATAAATTTCTCATTAATATTTGCTGCTTTTCTATATTTCCATTCAAATTCAAATTTCATGATCAGTTCATTGATGCAGTCATTTTTCTTTCTCCTGTTAAATTGTGCCAAAAGAAACATAACGTTTACCATCATATCCCCCTTCCACAAACAAGTCAGTGTGTTAAGTATAATCACATTCTGGTTCAACACAGTATAGAACCAGAGTATATAGTTATCTTTTGCTTCATAAAACAAAAATTGTCCCTATTCAGCAACAACTTCTCATTCTCCTACACTAAAGTCCCTGGAAACCACTATTCTATTCTGTTTTTTAAGAATTTGACTCTTTTAGTCACATCTTTGTGGTGTTTAAACTTGGGTGTGAAATTGACTGGCTTAAGGAATGCCTAGAGAATTAATAAAACATTATCACTGGGTGTGTCTCTGAGGCTGTTCTCAGAGGGATTGGCATTTGAGTCCATGAGCTGAGCAAGCAAGATCTGCTTTCAGTTGGGTGGGCACCAACAAGTCAGCTGAGGGCTTGGATAGAGAAGATAGATGATTGCAGGTGTCCATTTCCTGGACTTGGCATGTACTCTTCCCTCACCCTTGGATAACATAAATCCAGGTGCTCAGGCCTTTTGACTTGCACAGCATCACATTACTGATATAATAAGATCTGCAGCTTGCTGAAGGCCTCTTAGGGGACTTCTCAGCCTTCATGAGCACAGGAGCCAGCCACTTCCCCTAGAAAATCCCTTATTAGAAATCAATGTACCTGTCCTGTTTCTGTGTCAATAGAGAATCTTGACTAACACACTCATACAAGTGAATCATACAGTGTTTATCTTTTGTCACTGGAGGATTTTACTTGGAGTAAAGTATTCAAGATTTTTCCATTGTATTACTCAGATTACTTGAAGCAATTATAAAGTGATAATGCTTATTTATGTAACTCACATTTTAGAGTTTCAGATTTAGGATTTATAGCTTTATCTGTTTCAGCATTTGGTGAGATTGACATCAAGGCAGGTGCACTCACAAGATTGAGTGTTTATATCTGGAACCAGGAATTAGAAAAGGAGATTGGTGGGGTCCCCAAATCCTTTTTGAGGGCATACTCTGAAAGATCTAAGGAAATCTCATAATATCCAAGTCCTAAAGGACCACAGTGCCTTCCATTTGGCCACTGTGTAGACTAAATCTTTCTCATCCAATCTCTCTGGGATACCTATCCAAACACTAGTATCTGTAATACGCTGTGCCATAGTATTTCTTATTTTTAAAAAATCTGAATAATGTTCTACCATATTCATATAGCACATTTTGTAGAGAAATGAAAACATCAGTTTTCGAACAAAGAGTTGAATAATTTACTTTGAGACCTTATGGCTGATACAGATCTTATCTAGTGTCCTGGAACTAACAAGCATCTTTATCTGTTTACTCACATTCAATCACAGTTGGGGCTAGGGGAGTTTTATGATTACAGAGTTATGCAGTCCCACACTAGGACTTACTGCAGAGGTTCTAGTAACGTCCCCTTCCCCTGTTCCCTACACTCAATGTCTTATGGGGCTAGATTAGTCTTTTCAGAGTAGCTGTTATCGGGGTACTTGGCACCTTCCCTCCATCCCTCTTGCTTCCTATGTGACCTCTCTCTCTTGCATGTGCTTCCGTGTTGTGATATAGCCAGGAAGCCTGTAATACAGCTGGTAGCTACTGTATCAGTGCTCTTGGAACTCCTGAACTCTATGCTAAGTAAACTTCTTTTTAAAAATACACTACCTACCACCAGGTATTCTGATATTGCAACAATAAAAGGGCTAATAAAAAAAGCAAAGCCACCAAATTTGTTCTTGTTTTCGAGACTTCCCTTTGATGTCTCAGAGATTTTATAAATTGTAGGATTTTTTTCTATTTCTGTAAAAAATGCCATAAGGATTATTTTAAGTATTACTCTGCTTTTATTGTTTGATTTTCTATTTATGATTTTTCCTGATATATAAATAGCTATGATTTCAACATTTTCTTACTGAATGTTTTATATGTCTATTGCTGGTTCTGTGTGTTGGGTAGATGCGATGCGGATGCAGAATTTGTCCTGCCCTCTCATTGCCTTCACAGAACACCTGGATGCACTACATTCAGAGCCTTCCTCTCAGTGACAGCAGCAGAAGTTCTCTTGCCAGTGGTTTTGCCTGAGAAAATAGCAGGTGACTAAGTACTACTTCAAAACCCTGTAGAAAGCAGGTTGTGCTCTCAGGACTTTAGATGGAAGAAAGAAATAAGGAGTGGTCACAATATTGCTGTCTGATGACTCTGTGGACACCTTGCAGATTCCCATGTCTCTTGGTATTATTTTCAGTGGGATTTTAACCCTCCTACCAAACACATGGTTCCATTTCAGCAGAACTAGCCTCAACTGACACTAGAGTGAGAGATTTGCCTGATCAAGACAGTTTCTTCACTACTTTGAATATCATAACCATATTAGGAACTGATGATGATGGTTACTTCATCCCTGGTTAGTCAACATGAGTGAGAAGCTCAAGGAGCATAGGGCACACGAGATGTCCAGTCCTCAAAGACAAGAGGGCAGTAGTTTCAGGCAAGCATGCATGCACCTTCTGTTTCAGCGAGATCCTTCTGTACCAGTTCCTAAAGGTGTGAACTTTATTTTGAGAGCCCCAGAGACTAAGGGATAGAGTGAAGCCAAAGTAAACTGGGGCCCTTGGGGAGGTCATTTTATATACTTAATCAGCCCACAGCTGGTGATTACTGGTGTGTTTTATACTTAGAACTAGCGATAAAGTGATGAAGTTGACCACATACCTGCGATCAAAAGGTGGTCAACAGGCATTTTCCATTTCACAATTATATAAAAAGTTCAATGGCAGCACAGATGAGGGACCCCTCATGCAGGCTCAGCAAGTCAGACAGAGGAGGTCTTGAGGAGGAGGAGAGGTTGGCACATAAAGAGTCCATGGTAAGGAAGCAAGCTGGGCTGTTTATGAAGCCTGTGTACATGTGAGGCTCAGAGTCAAAAGAACAGGCCTGACTTGAGGAATTACAAGGAGCTCATTCTAGTTACAAGTCTTAATCACTCACCAGAGAGCTGAAAGAATTCCTAAAATGTTGAGTTGAGGGGCCGGGGATTTAGCTCAGTGCCACCGAGCCTGCCTTGCAATCCCAAGGTCCTGAGTTCCATCCCCAGTAAACCCCCCCCCCCCACCAAAAAAAAGTTGAGTTGATCCTGAAGAACAATTTCCCTTCTAATATTCCATCTTTATAAACATGGAGCAGAATTTAGAGAACATTCCAGGCAACATCTCAGAGACATATCTGAACATACACTATGAAACAGACCTTTATATCTCTATTGAAAGACCTTAATCAGAACAAAATTAGGACGAATGTCTTTTATTCCCTGTTGTCATAAGCATACTTCTTACTGAGCTGACTCATGCTATTTCTAGAGTATTAAACATTCATCCAATCAGGGGAAGTTTCCCAGCCATATTTTATAATGAAAGTGCTGCAAACTGACCAGGCGTTAAGAGAAGTTAAGTCTCATATTTGCTGGTGAGAATATGAACTGTTGCAATTATATATCAAAAATTAAAATGTTCATACATTAACCCCTGGTCAGTTTAGGGTCCTGTCAAAACCATTTTTCTTGCCCATAATTGAGGTGAAAAAAGAGCTTCATAGTTTTACTTTGCACCACTTTTATTATGACAAAGTTGAAACATTTTTCTCATATGTCTATTTAAAAAATGTTATTGGTCTATTCTCAGAAGAGCTCATCGTAACTTAAATTATCTTCATGATTAAAATATAATTTGCTAATGTTTTCTTCATCATTCTATTGGTTTTTGTTTTACTTAAATCTTTTGTAGAAATAATTTCATTATCTTCTAACTTGTTTCCCACCTCTTTAAATTAATTGTCAAAATCTAGTTCATTTTTATGAATAGCTCTGATATTCTTTGATATTTGCTTTCTATTTTAATTTTTTTCGTAACTAAAACTGCTGTGACATACACTTTGAAAGAGACAAACGCTTATACTATTAAAATTAAAGAAGTCTCATTTTTATTATTTTTGTGCCAGGAACTCTCAGACTATTGCATTTGTGAACCGAGCACTTTCATCCCTAAACCGACCATTTTACCAGCCCCAGGCAATGCTGCTATGAAAACATTTCCAATTGTATCAAAGAGCTGTGAAAAGAAAGAGGATTTCTTCTTCCTAGTTCTTGTAATCTCTTCTTTTAGTTGCTGTATCTCTCTATTTAATGCTTCAGATTTCTTTTTAAAACCATCCATAAGTAGTTCTCTTTGGGCCTATAAAAGATGAAGAATTCATTTTTGAAAATCCTTGATTATTATCAGTCAGAATTTTGCATTTATTCACTTCAGCAGTTAGGCACATTTATCTATTTCTCTTTGACCTTAGAATACTCTGCTATATCTAGATGTTTGATCCTGACAGTGAGAGATCTCAGTGCAATCTCACTGGAGTTGAGAGGAGTTTGGTTCCTGCACAAATAATGCCCTTTGGCAGAGAATACAAGAGGAATAGCAGCCATGTTCATTTAACAATATATTGGAAATGATGACCTTTTATAAAACACTGGTCATCAAGCAACAGTGTGGGATAAAGGCTTATTTTACTTTAGTTGTACAGTGTGAATCAGGCAGATATTGAAACAAATGGAGCACTTTCTGAACTTTTACTATCCTCTATTTTATATCAGGAATACATTGTGACCAAATGGTTCTGTTTCAGGTCTCTGATGGTTCCACCAAGAATCCTAAAGACTAGAGGACTAAGGTCCTATTCAAATGGAACACAGAAAGAACATCCTACAATCTCAATAAATAACCATCCAGAACACTGGGAGACATTATTTATACCTTCCAAAGCCCTACACTAGAGAGGTATAAAATTCCTGCAGATTTACAGGCTTCAGTAGGACTCAGGTATACTTGAGGTTTTAGTGAAACATTTACCTTTTGGATTTCCCTGGAAAATAAATTTGGAATCATGCCTGTGTTTAAAATTTTGGTCCTTTCTTCCTCAGGTACTGCCAAGCTCCATTCAGACTCACCTTCAGCTTGTGCTCCAACATGCTTTCCTGTTCCCTCAGAATGTTCTCCTTTTCCCTCTCCATCTTCTCCTTTAGCTGAGCCACATTTTCCCGGAAGCTTCTCTCTTGAGCCTCCATCATTTGCTGCTGGTCCTTGCTTTTCTGCTTTAGCAACTCCTGTTCCTTCTCAGCTGCTTCCTTCTTGGTCCTCTCAGCTGCTCCCCAAAGATTTTAGAGATGGAAGGAACAACAGTCAGGCCTGATCTCTAACTTCTTGAGCTCAGAAATCAAACTGATTTTGAAAAGAGGGAAAAAGTCTGAATTCATCCATTATCCATGCCAGTAGGGTCAGGATTCCAAATATGATGGAAAGGCACTGATTGGCTGGGTGTGAACCTCAACTGCCCTTACTGTTTTCAGATTTAGCAGAGTAGGAGATCAATTGTGGGAGAGGAAGCTCCTTTTTTCAGGAAGGTTCTCCTGTCCAATTAGCCAGAGGGGTTTGCAGCAACCTATCCGCCCCACTTGAGATCTGAACCTTCCCCTGTACCTGCTAGTGCCCTCTCTCCATCAGTGAGGGCTTTGTCTGACTGTAGAATGGATTTTTCTATAGTAGCCTGAGACTGCAGGAAGCTCTGGAGGACCTCATTTGCCTGGGAACCAAGAAGCAACAAAATACTTTAGGCAAACATCTAGTCTTCTGATGAGAAAATTATTACTCAGCAAAAGTATAAATCTGACTCCGTAAGTTTCCATCCTTCTTAGGATCTCATAGAAGTTCCTTTCCTTTTGTGGTCACAGCTGAAAGTCCAAGCTCTTTGGACCCATGAAAGCTCTTGACAGCACCTGCCTTCCCAGCCCTCTAGCCTCCTCTCAGCAATTCTGCCCACCAGCCATCCCAAGTTACAGCTCTGGTCAGACTTATGTGCAGTCCCATAAACAAATAGTTTCCATCATTCGAAATATTTGTGTATACCTTTTCTTCTGCCTTGATGCTGCTCTGTCCTTTCCTAACTAGATAAAATCTATAGATACTTCACCTTTTATCTCCTCCCTCCCAGACCAGGAAGATTTCTAAGATGCCTTCTGAGATTTTTCAGGTTTGTAGAGGTGTGATTGTAAAAAATAATTGTATACATTTAGGTATATAACATTATGTTTTTAGGGCTGGGGATTTAGCTCAGTGGTTCTGCCACCTGCCTTGCAAGTGCAAGGTCCCGAGTTCGATCCCCGATACCAAAACAACAACAAACAACCAACAACAACCAACAACATGTTTTGATATATGTATATATTATTAAATGATTATTATAATAAAGCTAATTTATATATCTTTCACCTCATATGTTTACATTTTGTTGTTGTTAGAACACAAGATATACTTTCTTAGTAACTTTCAGGTATGTAATGGATTATTTTAACTGTAGCCACCCTGTTGTACATTAGGTTTCCAGAACTATTTCATCTAATAACTGTATGTTTATATTTATTGATCAGTATCTTCCCCTCAATCCCTAGTAATCACCATTCTACTGTATATCAATAGGAATTTGACTTTGGGATTTTGTTTATGCCACTAAAATTGAGTGTCTTCCTACATCTTGGTTATTTCACTTAGTGTAACGTCCTCAGGTTCATCCATGGAAACCAGTATGACGATTCCTCATCCATATCATCACAACTGACAGGACTTTGTTAAGCCTGAATAATATTCCATCATAATTATATAGTAATCAATATTCGCATGGTACTGGTATAAAAAGACACATTGACCAATAGAGCAGGAAAGCCAAGAAGGAATGAAATTGGACCCACATCTTAAAGCTTACATAAAAATAAAATTAATATGGTTTGAATATTAAGCATGAGATTTAAAACTGTGAAACTCTTAAGAATTGTAGTGACAGACCTCTTTGACAATGACTTTGGCAATGAACTTCTGGATTTGATGCCAAAAACCCAGGCAACAAAAGTAAAAATAAAAAAGTGGGATGACTTCAAATGAAACAGTGCCCACACAGCAAAGGAAATGATCCACAAAATGAAAAGGTAGCATATAGAATGGGAAAAATATTTGTAAAATACACATCTGATAAGGGGTTAATGTCCAAAGTATATGTAGAACTCATATAACTCAACAGTAGAAATAACAAAGAACTTGATTTTTTAAGTGGGAAAAGGAACTAAAAAGACATATTTCAAAAGAAGAAATTCAAATAGCCAACGGGTATTTGTAAAAGTCCTTAACACTGCTAATCATCACGGAAACACAAATCAAAACCACAATGAGATATCACCCCACACTTGTTGGATATAAATCAAAAGATAACAGATGTTCCTGAGGTTGTACAGAAAAGGGAACTTTTGTAGCATTGTTGGTAGAATGTAAATTTGTACAGCCTCAATTGACAAGAGTATGAAGAATTCTCAAGAGAAAAAATTCCAAGTCTCTAATGGCTGACTCATCAGCTTTACCACTTGCTTGGTATGCAATCTTAGGCAACTTATTTGGTCCTCTGTGGATCACGGTTTTCTACTGCATAAGCATGGAAGTCAGTAGTACCTAGTTTGTGTTATTCTGAGAAATAAATTGGTAACCTAACAAAATCACCTGAAAATGTAGTTGTACCTGGTATCAAAAGGGAATGCTCAATTTCTATTAGCATCACCATTACTGTCAGTACATACCAGGTATTGTGGATGTATAATAACCATTATCACACTATAGCAACTGAACAGGATTTTGTCCATCTTAAGTAAGATCAGCTTATGGAGAGGAAAGTAATTTCTTTAATATTGCATCTTCTACACTTAGCCCCAAAACTATCCATTTTTGATAAATAAATGAAATAGTTTATTTCCCTTGAATTCTTGGTTTAGTATCCTCTCTGGGAAAATATTTCTGATTTATTTAAGAGCATCTAATTAACAGTAGATATAAAAATGAAAAATGTCAACATATTGCCCTGCTCTGCTTAAGTTTTACAAATTGTGTTGTGGTTTTAAATTTTTAGAAAGAGCAGCAAAGACTTTCTGACTCTACCCTGCTGGCCACCCCACACCCCACCTCCTTACTCCTCACCTTAACTCCTTTTCTGGGCGCATGCTTGTAGCCCTCTTCAACCTCCCTTTTTGCTTCTAAGTAGAGACCATGGCCTCCAGGAACAGAGAAAATTCCCTCTGAAATGTTTTTCAACAGGGATGCTGAGAGCTGCTCCAGCTTATCCTGGCAGTACTTGGTAGATGCTGCTTCATTTTGCAGCAAGAAATCTTCCTTCCTTCTCTCTGTGGTGCTCTGCCAATAAAATGGAGGGACATACAGTACAAAGAAGCTCTTAGAAAGAAGAGGTAACTGGGATCCCCTTTGAAAAACAACAAAAGGCTATAAGAAATCTGACTGCCTCAGAGTGGACTGGGACACGGAAAAGAGCCAGGAGACTTGTTTCAGTCCCAATTTTTGTCAATTACATGTGAATTCTGGAAAGTCTCTTGGAATCAGGCTAAGTATCTATAAAATGATGAAGTGAGAAGACTTAAATTTTAAGATTTATTCAGCTATAATATAATTAACAAGGACCCAAACTCTACCAATGATCAAAGAACTCTGGATGGAAGTAAAACTCGGAGAATGTGCATAGCTGTGGATGAAAATATATACATGATAAACTAAATCCCCAGGAATGACTTACATGTGTTGTGAACAGAATTTTGAACCCTTCATGAACTCTCACAGTGACAGTTTGAGCGTGTGAGGATACAGGAACAGGTATTTTTTAAATTTGTTAACTCTTGTAAATCACAATCTAGCTAGATTTCCTCAATAAGAACTAAAATTTTTGAGGGCTGGGGATTTAGCTCAGTGGTTCTGCCACCTGCCTTGAAAGAACTAAAATTTTTGTTACTTTTAGGTTAGTCCAAGAGAGAATGAAAGGTAACTTTCAGAGAAGGGGCCTCTGGTTGACAAAATAAAGATGTCTCAGGAGAATTCTCTTGCTGAACCATCCCTTGATCTGTGAATCCGATAGTATTAAATCTATGATTACATTATGTTATTTGTCACAAGGGGATTTTAAGAAGTGGAGAGCACCCTATTGAGTATTTAGCTAATCATGTGTCTTTACAAAGCAGCTCTCTCTGGCTTTAGCAGAAAAGAAAATCTGAAGGTCTAGAAACAAGAGAAGGAATTGCTTTCCATTGTGGAAACAGCTTCCACAAAGTCTCTAGGTGAAAACTAAACCCATGTAAAACCCTGTGTTCAGCTTGTGTTGCACAGAGCACAGTACTTAGACACCTTTGCAGAGATCTTCTAGAGAACTGTGAACTAATAGAGGCATAATCCTGTGTCAAGCTGCTAAGCACATAATAATTTTTTTTGTAGCAATAGGAAACTAGGTGCCATCTTTTAGGGTGCACTACAGCCCAAAGAGCCCTGTTGGCCACAAAAATCCAGATTCTTTTAATGATGAGATGGACGTAAACCATGGGATCAGGAGTGTGGAATCTAAGCCTTATTCCAGAAGGGCAGGGCTGAGAAAGGATAAATGCTAAGGTGTATTACCACCAGCTGCTTCTGGAATTCCTGATTTTCATCCTTGAAGGACCACTCCATGAAGACCTTGATGGCCTCCTTCTCACAGGCCGTGTGCTCGTCCAGCAGCTCCTGGAGCGAGTCTGTGGGGAACCGCACTCGCTGGGCCATCTGCTCGCTGTAGTGGTTGGCTGCCTTCTGCACGGCTGCTGAGTTCTCTCGCTGGGCCAGAGTGGTCACTGCGTTCTCCAAGCAAGGCACCACCCCACTGTTGATGGCCTTCACATAGGTCTCCACCAGAGTCCCCAGCCCTGAATGATGTATATTTAGGGAATAAATGGAAAGTTCTCACTCATCATTTTTACAAGCTTTAAAGAATGCCATTATAAAAATCACAACTTCTAAATATCTTAAAGTTTTCTTCCCCTTCTCTTCTTCCTCTTTCTTTAATTGCAGTTCTTTCTTTTTATCTCTGTGTGAGTCAATCTTTTTGGCAACATCACTGTTTTTCCTACACACTCTTTTATGGTAAATTCACCATAATACAAAATTAAATTACTGATTATATCCAAGAGGTTATAGGATTTCCTCAAAAAATACTTTTCAATTTAAATAAAATAAAATGAGTTTATTAGGTAATATATATTACATAATTTGTGATTATTAATTCCAAATGAAAATTCAAGTAACTTTATAAAATGTATCATCATAAATTTGAAGACGGCACCATAGTGTATTGAACCCAATATGGGCCCATCCCATGGAGACTGCACTGTTGTATAGGCTATTTTTCCATGAAGTTAGTCTTGCTTAAATTTGTTGATTAATAATTACTCAATGAGCTTGCATGAAACTCTTAGCCTGCTACATATTTTCTAACTGGTATCAATTTATAAAATATCTGAAGAATTCATCCTATGGAACCTCTTGTTTTAAAGATGTCTCTCCTTAGTAGTAGTCTGTGCTTGTATTCTTTTTTTTAAATTTTTTTGGATGAGGAATTTTTAAATTAAATACTAGCATTTTTCCTTAGATTGAAAAGGTAATCTATAAACAGGATAAATACTCAAACACTACATTAGTGCTCCCATTTGAGTTTTCTAAGCTCATATCCATGGACATATGCATTTGTGCTTGTATTCTTAGAGTATTGGTTTTGTTGTTTGTTTGTTTGTTCTGGGGATTGAACTCGTGTACTGTTCTTTTTGAGATATATTAGGGCTCAATAAACATTGATATAGAGAAATTTTAACTAAGAAACATACATTTCTGTGTGTGGCACAAATGTCTGGTTTTCCATATTCCTTAAAGAAATGGGCAAATCCACAAAAGACACATAGCTACATCACTTATTCTGAATCACTGAGACATGCTTTGAGATTACCAAACCAAACCAAACCAAAATGAACCAAAACTCACGATTTCCAGTGACAACGATTCCCTCTCTCAGGGTCTTGGTCTTTGCATTGGTAAAAATATAGGAACAGAAATTTTTTGATTGCACCTGAAAACTCCATTCCAGTTGGCTTTCTGGAACATCTTCAATACTGAATAATAAGGTCTTGTCATTTGTAGGCCGGTCAAAGACAAAGCACTTCCGTACTGGAAAGAAATATCTGATACACTCTCTAGGCATGTTGGAACTTTGGATTTGGGGATTTTTTCCTGTAAAAAAAGCATTCATTGAAAAGACTGCCTGTGGGCAAGTAGAATGAGAATTTCTGCATAACTATAGTCCTGGATCTGTAAATCTTCCTTCATCCAATCACATAGAACAGCCTTATGCCAATCTACCCTGTGCATGGGTAATCTGCTTCTAAGCAGAGCTGAGAGTTGTGGAAAGAGGAGGCACTTACCTCATGTGAAGAAACTTATGTTTGGTTTCCTTAGCCTTTGTACAGTAACCCATAGATTGACTATGAAAGGTTTGAAGTGATTGATTTTTATTTATTTTTTATGAGTACATGTTTGCGGTACATAATGATTACAATTGGGAGTTGGTACGTGCACATAACACATCTTAATTCCTTTTTTCATTCCCTACTCCTCTCCTCCCTCCCACTCCCTTCATCTCTTGATCCCCTTTCTATTTGAAAAAGATCTATCTCCCTACTTTCTACAATTTATCTTTTATTTTGCTCTTTATTTATACTTTGGGTTCTCATATAAGAGAAACTATGTGATATTTAAGCTTGTGTATTGGATTTATTTTAATTAACATAGTGGACTTAAAATACATCCATTTTCTTACAAAGCCTCAAGTTTATCCTTCTTTATGGAAGAGTAGTACCCCATTGTATGTAAATATCAGATTTTCTTTATCCATTCATCTGCTGATGGACATGTAGTCTATTTCCAAGATTTAGCTATGAATTTTGGGCTGAGCATGGGTATGCACATATAATTGTAATATAATTCAAATCTTTAACTCTTTTAGGAGTGATTGATTAATCAAAAACATTGTCAGACACTTCTGATATTGAGACCCATGTCAGAAATGAGATGTGGGCTCTAAAGTAATGTAATGCTAGGGGGACACTTAATATCCACATCTGTGAAAGAAAAAAATATTTCAAAATCAGAACACACACACACACACCATAATTATATTCAGAGATTAGTTTAACAGAAAACTCCAAAGTAAGTTTAATTTAAACATAATTTAAACACCTCACTACTTCTTGATATCAAATACTATTATATTTCACATTGCTTTGCAGAGATTCTGTGGTATAAATTAGCTGTTTAAGTAAATGTGGGTTTAAAAATGAATACATAAGTGAAAATTGTTACTAATTCTAGGTATTACTGCTTATCTATTCTGCCTAGGATAATCCACGTAATACATTTATAATATTAACAGGTCATCATCATATTGTATAATGCTGTAGGATGAAGTTGTTGTTATCAAAAAGGTAAAGTTAATGATTGGACAGTATTATTAAAAACACATATCATTGTTTTTTATTCCAGAATCATTCAGTGTGTTAATATGCTTTTTCTGAAGGATGTGACTATACAGGTTAGTTAAATATACTGTACTGAATAAAATGTACTTTTTAATTTGGTCACTGGATTTCCTTGTGATTCTGGATTTAACAATTTCTAACTTGATGAGCTATTTTTCACCAAATGGAATAGGAGCAGATAAACTTAGTAAGTAAATATGTCAGCCTAAGGAAGTGGTATTATTTATTATAATCCTCACTTCTTTTCATGGTACTGATTGATTTAAAATTATTGATACAACATCGAGACTTAAATTTCCTTAGTGAGTTCAAATCTTAGCCTCTGAAGATTTTCGAGTAATAATAACTGCTAAAATCATGGCCACCAATCACTATATGTCAAGTGCCAAATGACAGAGCTTAGTTGATCCGACAGCCATATGAAGCTTCCTCCACTCAAGCCATGCTCCAATACCTGGAATCAGCTTCAAGGCATTCTCCAGGTACTCATCTTCCGTGATGGGATGTCCATCTAACTTCAGCTCCAGCACGAAATCCCGAACAGCCCAAATAAAGTCTGGAAAGAAGCTTACAAACTCGGTGGAGTCCTCTATCTCATCAGGTCTGCAGCCAGCTTTTGCCCTAATCAACTGTGTTAATTCAGTCACATAGCTGGGATCTTAGCTAAGGAATGAGAGGCACCACAATTACCAGGTCTCCTTTAGAAACAAGTGTTATACACATTACTCATTGGTCTATGTCTGCTTTTACTCAACCATGACAACTGAGCTGGAGAAAAAAAAGAGGCAATCCCAGCTGCCCTTTCTATAAACCTTATGACACATGGCGTGTCAGCTCCTGGAAGGATACTGCAGCTGTTCCAGAGCCTGGTGGTTGATGGTGCTCATGCTGTTGTAGACAAAGCTGCTGCTCAGAAGCACAGCAAGGGCAAAGATCCAGGAGTCATTCTTAAGGTCACCCTAGAAAGCACACTGTAGTGAGGGACTAAGGAATCGACTATTTACTCACCCATTTATTCATTTTCAGTTCTTTGTTCATTCTTTTAGCTATACTATTGCTGAGTACAAGAGAAACAATAAATTTTGAATAGTAAATACATATCTCATAATATGAGATAGCTAGCTACATAGGGGCCCCAAAGAGAGGCATGCCTAGATATTATCCCAAGTGTGCTCAGGCCCCAGCCAGAAGCCCACCCAGACAACAAGTCAGCTCAGGGATCTAGAAGCCCACCACTCTGAACCTATGAATTGGTGTACTGGTGAGCAGCAGAGTAAAGGCTGTTCGGTGGCTTGCTGAGAATTCAAGACCACTGGGTAAGCAAAAAGTCACTTCAACAAAGACACAGCGGGATGCATCTGTTGAAATGAGAAGACACATAAATAAATTCCAAAACCAGACTACCAGATCATCTAAGGGAACCCCAAAGGGCAATAAGATGGAATAATCTGATATTCAACCACCTGGACTCCATGAACTGGCAATGAAAGGGGACCTGGAAAAAGTAAAATCAGAAATAATTTCTCAGACAACAGCAGAGATTGTGCCCATAGTACAAGACATGATTAATAAATCTAGAGCGGACACAGATTAAAAAATAGAGGAGATGAGGCATATGATGGAATCCCAACATAGGTCACAAATGGAGTCCATAAAACGGATGCAAACAGATTTCCAGGAGATTAAAAACTCCATTGAAAGTTTAAGCAGCAGAATGAGCCAATGCGAGGATAGCTTGGTCAAAAAAATTTACACATAGGCATATAACTGTTAAGATTCCAGAAACCCAACAGAAGAACAAAATTCTATAAGCAGTTAGAGAAAAGAAACAAATTACATACAATGGAAAGCCCATCAGAATCACAGCAGAGTTCTCAACACAAACACACAAGGCAAGGAGAGCTTGGAGTGATATATTTCAAGCCCTAAAGGAAAAGAACTTCCAAGACAGATTGATGTACCTTGCAAAACTATCTTTCAAAAGTGATGGAGAAATAAGATACTTTCATGTCAAAGAGCACCTTAGGAACATCATGAATACCAAACTGGCACTCCAAAAAATTTTAAACAATATACTAGGAAAAGACAATGAGGATCACAACCCCAGGAAGCACAGCAGAATGAATCCATCAGGTATGAGAAGAAATTAAATGCAAAAGGGGAGAGTCCAACACAAAGAAAAAGTCATGACTAGGATAAGGATAAGTCAATACATATAAATTATAACCATCAATGTTAATGGTCTCAATTCACCAATCAAAAGAAATAGACTGGCAGAATGGGGCAAGAAGCAAAATTCAACAATTTGCTGCATAGAAGAAACACACTTTATTCAGAAAGAAACTCATAGACTGAAAGTTAAAGGGTGGAAAACAATACTCCATGCCACAGGAACCCGAAAAAAAGCAGGAGTAACTATCCTCTTTGCAGATCAAGTGGATTTCAAACCAACACTGATTAAGAGAGACAAAGAAGGACACTACATCCATGTAAAGGGAACAATTGAAGAGGAAGAGATGACAATCATAAATATATATGTACCAAACACTAGTGCACCCAACTATATCAAACAAATACTAATGGACATGAAAAATCATATAAGCACTAATACAACAGTAGTGGGGGACCTAAATACCCCACTCTCACAAATAAATAGATCAACTAGACAAAAAATAAACAACAAAATACTCTATCAAACTCTTAAACAAGTGAACTTAACAGATGTTTACAGAGTATTCCACCCCACAAAATGAGAATACACATTCTTTTCAGCTGCACATGGGTCATTCTCTAAAATAGACCACATGCTCACTCATTGAACATGTTTAAGTAAGTGCAAAGGAACTGAAATTATCCCCTGTATATTGTCAGACCATAGTGTGATGAAATTGGCGATCAATAGCAAAAGGAACTACAAGAATTTCATAAACACATGGAAACTGCACAAAACATTTCTGAACAAACAATGGGTCACAGAGGAAATTAAAGAAGAAATCAGACAGTTCCTACAACTAAATGACAATGCCAATGCAACATATATGAATCTATGGGACACAATGAAAGCAGTCTTACGAGGGAATTTCTTAGCAGTGAATACTCACATTAAGAAAACAGAGCAAGCTCAATTACACAACCTGATGCTGAACCTCAAGCTTCTAGAAAAATAAGAGCAGGACAAACCCAAAGCCCATAGAAAGGAGGAAATTATAAAGATCAGGGCAGAAATCAATGCAAAGGAGACTAAGAGAACAATTAAAAAAAAATGAAGCCAAGAGTTGATTCTTTGAAAGAATAAACAAAATTGATAAACCCTTAGCCAACCTTATCAGAAAAAGGAAAAAAAAATGCCCAAATGCATGCAATTAGGAATGAAAAGCATGAAATTACAATGGATCCAGCAGAAATCCAGAGGATCATCAATACGTACATGGAGAACCTATACACCAATAAGATGGAAAACACAGAAGTAATGGACAGATTCCTAGATACAAATGAATTACCAAAGTTGAACAAAGAAGACCTAAAAATTCTAAAGGACCCAATATCAATCAATGAAATTAAAAATGTAATTAAAATCTTACCACCTAATAAAAGCCTGGGTCCTGATGGTTTCACTGCTGAATTCTACAAGATATTTAGAGGGGAACTACTGCCACTAATGTTTAAACTCTACAATGAAATTGAAAGGGAAACAGTATTCCAAAATTCATTCCTGGAGGCAAGCATCACCTTGATCCCCAAAGCAGAGAAAGACCCAAGTGAAAAAGAGAACTACAGGCCAATCTCACTAATGAACATAGATGCAAAAATCCTTAATAAGATACTGGCAGATAGAATGCAGAAGATTATCAAGAAGATCATACATCCTGACTAAGTGGGATTTATCCCAGGGATTCAAGGATGGTTCAACATATGCAAATCAATAAATGTAATTATATTAATAGAACCAAGGACCAAAATCATATGATCATTTTAATAGATTCAGAAAAAAGCATTTGACAAAATCCAACATGCATTTATGATTAAAAAAACCCTACAAAAATTGGAATAGATGATCTCTACCTCAATCTGATAAAAGCCATCTATGAAAAACCAACAGCCAATATCATACTAAATGGTCAAAAACT